AAATGTCTGAGGACTATGTCCAAGTTCTCTAAGTGCTCCTTATTGGTCTCCCCTGTTATAAGTATGTCATCTAGATAAATGGTGACCTGAGGTAAATCTTGTAAAACTTTGCCTGCTGAAAAATTGAAAAAATGGCAATCTCGTACATTGGTACAAACACGTATGGGTATTATTTGCAGCATACTTCTCACTGAACCTCAATTGCATGTACACGTGGTTCATGTCCAGCTTTGTGCAGGACAGCCCCCCTGCCAGTTTTGTGTACGAGTCCTCTACACAAGGGTTTGGGTATTTATCAATCTGCAAAAAAAAGTTGTGTTCGTTTTAAATCCCCACAAAGGCATAACAACCCGTTGAGCTTCACAAATGGTCTGGCCACAAATTGGACTGGTTTGATGATTCCTTCCCTTTCCAGCCTTCTGATTTCTCTATCTACTTTTGCCTGTATGGCACCGGGCAAGCCTTACAGAATTGTGGAGTTGCTTCCTGGTTGACATGCAAGGTGGCCCTGGCTCCTTTGATAGTGCCGGAAAAACTTCTGGCTATTTAATTAGGCCTTCACTCAGGCAGCCATTTTCCAATCGAAAAATGTTGTGCCAATCTAGGTGAATCTTTCTCAGCCAATTTCGCCCCAACCAGCCTTGGGCCTGAACCTTTCACTACAATCAGTGGTAACAGAACCAGCTGCTTCTAACAAGAGACCAGAACCAAAGTTGTACCTTAATCTGTAAATATTCCCTGGTCTTGTTTCTCAGTCTAGCCGAGGTCTTGCACAAACTTAAAGGTTGGAGTACAAAGTGAATTCAGTGCGACCACTGAAATGGCTGTGCTGATATCAACCTCCATGAGAACCAGATGAACACTTAACCAGACGTTTATTTCGATTGGTTCCAATTTGGAAGTTGCTAAGTAATTTAGCTGTTCCAAACCAGACATAGGTGGCCTTTCCAGGGTGTGCACTCTTCTGGATACCGACCTATGTGTTCTCTTACTCAGTTCAGGCCTAGGGGGGCTCTTTTGCTGTCTTGAATCCGCATAGCAGCAGCAACTACAATGGCATGCCGGCCTGGATCCTGAAGAAAATTTTAACCATTTGGCTGAGACTTGGATCAGAGATAGTAGGAACTGCAGATGCTGGAGAATCCGAGAAAACAAGGTGCAGAGCTGGATGAACACAGCAGGCCAAGCAGCATCATAGGAGCAGAAAGGCTGACGTTTCGGGCCTAGACCCTTCATCAGAAAGTTT